TGAAAGTCGACTCACGTCTTCCCGTAACTTCTTCACTCTTTTCAGGTACTGGTACGCGTGCGCCATCGCGATCCTTGTGTAGCGATTGCTCGGTAGTTCGCCGTTGATCTTGATCCTCTGCAGGATGCTCTCGATTTCTTTACGACATAGGTTCACACGATGACGATCGAGCTTGGTGGTACCGCCGTGATCATCGTATCGGCCCGTGTTCAGCATTTGCAAGTACCTAGGTTGTAATGATGAGTCCTTAGTTTTGAGATTCGAAAGCTCTAACTGCGAATCATGACTTGAAAGCTGCGACCATGACTCAATTCTTAAGAGCTCGAGCTCTCAGGGTTCATACCTTGAGCTGTAAAGCTCAAATCTTCAACGCTCAAAGCTTAGAGTTCTATAAATACTCAAACTTGAAGGTTTAAATGGCTCAAATTGAGCTTTCAAAGATTTAAGGTTGAATATTGAAGCTTCAAAGATGCTGCCTTTGTAGAACTCTATGCCATTAAAACTCGAGCTTTATAGAATTCTGAGTTGTAATAAATGGAGCTTTATAGAACTCTAAGCTTCCATGGCTCGGCCTTATAGAACTCTGAGTCTTCAAAACTCTAGCTTCATAGAACTCTAAGCCTTCAGTACTCAAACTTTATACAACTTCAAGCTTCCATGACTCGAGTTCCATAAAACTCTAACCGTTCAAGACTCGAACTTCATAGAACTTTGAGCCCCCAAGACTCAGCTTTTAATGCCAAACCTTGAAACTTCGAAAACTGAGGTATTAAAGAACTCTAGGCCTGCTGGATTCAGCATTAAAGCTTCAGCCTTGAAGCTCCGAGGACTCGAGCACTTTGCAACACTACGAGATACCGGATGCAGTGGTCCTTCAAGCGGCGAACTGTCTCATTGTAGAGCATGTAAGCTCCCTGCTCCTCCGACGCGACCAGCCCTTCAAGCTCCGCCAACTTCTGGTCCTGTCACCACGAATTAAAATTTCGTCCCTGGGAATCAGTGTGCTCCAGTTCGCGGGAGCAAACTTCTGCGCCGGCCACGCCGTGGGAACCACGGCCCCGGGACGTATGAAATATTTCCTTGACACGTACCGGAAGTTCGACCAAGCCGGTACGGGTTTTAAGTCAACGACGCTTTCCAACTTCAAGGCGTCCGGCGCCGATAAATTTGCACCCGAGGTCTCACGGTGAAATTTTTACGAACGGCCCGGAATTCTACCTCGCGAACTTTCGATCCCGAAGCGTTTTCGTGAAACTCGCGGAGGCTAGTTTCGCTCGTGCATGTTGCATGCGAAGTTACGGTTGGTTTTCGATGTTTCGCGGCTGCCTGTCTTTCGGCTTACGAGAATGCTACTGGTATTGATGCAGCAGTTCCGATGTAATTGAACGGAAGAATTTTGTTCGATAATTGAAGATAATATTTCTATCGATTGGCACGTGAAACGAAAGCTAAATAAATGAATGTTTATCTACTTCAAATGCAAAGTTTCGTAGCAAAATCAAATTAAATTTGTCAAGACGTGGCTGTATTAAATAAGAAAACTATTTTTTTTAACGAGTAGCAATTTAGCGATTTTAAAGATTTTTCATTTGGCAAAGAAAAATGTTGTATTATATAAGATCTAGTGACGACGAAGGAAAGAAATGGTATGCTTACTAGGAAATCGGCAACGCGACCCAGACTATTGCTATTGTACATCCTCCACTCGAGGTCGGGCCACCAGGACTTGACGTACAAGCACGGTTTTCGCGAGCCAAGAGGCAGATAATTATATTTGCCATCCAGTGAACCAGTCAGTCGTGGAGCGGTGCCGCTCTCGAAGTCCGGTCGCCGCTCCGGCATCCGGTTTCCTGTTGAAAATTAATCACATTTTACGGGGTGCCTATCATGCGCCTGAAACGCAAACCCTCCAGCGTATTAACAAGCGATCTATGAGCCTTCGAGGGATTCGAGTGAACGAACGCGGAACGGTGGACGAAATTTCCCCGTTTCCCAACAAATTTTCCGAGGAACTACAAAGGAAAGTTTGTCCCGATGGAGCTGATACCGTCGTAGCCGCCTTCGACGCACTGGCTGCGAGGGAATTGTTTATTTCCGGCGTTTCCCAGGCTAATTTCGAAGCTTATCGATTTCGTCCAAAATTTTCGCCTGTCTATCATGCTGACATCGTACAGAATGGCCACTAGACAGTATTCCTCCGTCCTCCACAGGCGATTCTTTGGAAAGAAATAGTGAATATTAGACAAATGCGAATTGTCTATCCGTTACTAGGTCGACAGCTCTGTAATAATAACTCAGCCTTCGAAAATGAATTCCTATGATAGATAACACTTTGTAATTGTCACGGGCAATGATTACCGCTATAAAAATAGTACTAATAAATCACAGAACGGAATAGAGTTTGAAAATTCAGTTCTCACCGACTATCTTGACGGTTATTTCAACATCAACCAGATATATCTGCCATGGCCTCAAATTGCCACTGGACGATTACATAAGGCAATCTAATGGCGTCGTTAGAGGTTGTTTTTATTGCGCGAAAGGTCAACAATAAAAAGGAGAGGAGTAATAGGCGAGACATCGCCGAGAAAAGAAAATAAGATCAAACGCGCGCACCTCGATGATGGGAGCCGCGGGCTCTGTTTCGGCGCCGATTCTGGCAGACGCTTCTGGGTCATCCATTTCCGTTTTTAGGGATAGAAGAACCCGGCCGCGATAGAAAGGAAGTGCCGTCAGCCACTTGCCGAAACAGCTACTCTTCTCTGCGCGGCCGGAGCCGTAAAAGTGAAGGAATGACGGGCCGAAAGTCGGCAGGAAACCTTATAAAGGTGACAAGGCAATACATCAAGGATACTTTATATTACTCTAGGAGAGGAGCAGTCGCCCGCGTCGGATGAGCGTTTATCTTCCACCTTGTTACGCGATTCAGGCGGCTCTCGCGTAATAGTCCCCTACCCTCGCAGATAAGTCTCCGAGTTATTAAATTTTAATCCTTGCCTCATCGTCCGGATTCACCGCTGTCTTGCGCGCATCAGCGAAAGTATTAATGAACAGCGAATTGACGGGATTTATTTATGTATAGTACACCAGGATGGATCATAACGTAGGCAACAGGAATTAATTGATTCATAAATTTTCATTAACGACAAGACGCGTTTCATGGTCGCGATTGATTTACGCTGCGAATTAACCTAAACAGGTCGTAAACGGTACCGGGCACGTCGTTTTAATCAATTATTTTGATATTTTATCGTGCATATTATTTCAATTAATCGTATCGTTTGTAAAAGCTAAGATTCCTTCGCACGCGTTGGAAACTGCTTTCTTGCCACGAATTCGTGAAGCAGTTACGTTGAAATGATTTATGATGTTCTTTTTCCCTGTAGGATGTTTTAGAACGATGTTTAAAACCTAAGGCCGGTTGAATATTAATATTTGAACGTATAATATCCGAGGTAAATAAAATTGATAAAAATGGAGGGCCGGTTCGTTCGAAGCAAAATTATCGGCTGTTTTATCAATATGTCGGTCGGGGCAGGCAGTATTTTCGTAGTTCGCGCTGTAAGATCGCAGTATAAGCAGTGAATCAGCGGGGAATAGCCTCGAGGCGAGCGAGGACGATAAAATGAGGAAAATGGCGGTTCGATTAGATCTAAGTGGTGTTGTGCGCGAGCTAGTTACGCGGGGCACGGTCAAATTATTCGATCGTAAAGAATTTAAAATACAAACGTAACGGGACGAACAGGCTCCGTTAATCAACGTCCCGTTTGCCGTTCCGCTGTTTGAGTTTCGTTTATGCGACGATCTGCTGCTCCCCTATTTTTATACCCCGCTCTTTGATTTATTTCTACGTTGAAGTGCTGCCGTGTTTTCGACGCGTATTTCCCCCCGTTATGGACGGAAATGTTTAAAAAACCCGAGACCTCCGTTACTCGATAGAGAATTTATACTGTGCGGTCGTAGTACGTACAAAATCGATATAATAAAATTCCGCTTGGAAAATAGATTATAATTTGATTCCGGGGTAATATGAGGGAATTTTTTATATTTTATGGTCGTTTGAAATAAGATACTTTCTAGAAAATCAAATGTATGATTCAGATCATTCTTTCTTTTTTTGGTAACGACGGTTACAATGAAGGCTTCATTTGTGTGTGGATAGAAGAATGTAGAGAACTCACCGTATTCCCCGGAGTTTGATATCTTGCTCAAGTCGAGCACGTGTGACGCTACGACACAAGTTTGACAACTGTTAACACGGTGCTTTATGGTAATTCTCACGCGTTGGCAGAGGGAAGGAAACATTTCCTTGAAGATAATTTTCTCGTTGAACCTGGGGCTATAAGTCTGCCATGCTTCACTGGTCTTCTCCTGGAAATTGATGTTACACGTCCACTCATTAGATTATCGGTAGTTCATTTACTAGGATTATTGAGAACACGTGTACATAATTTTTAACCCCTTCTCCTACAACAACAAGTAAATATTATTCCCCTTTAATCAACTATTATACATAAAAGGAAATATAGGCATAACATATGCTTAGAATTTTTCTCTTTCTTCGATAAATTATTAATCACAAAGTAGCCATATCAATCAGAATTGAGAAAGAAATCATAGGCCAAGGGGTTAACTAAAAACTAAATAAATTTAAGTTAGGAATAAAAGTGGATAAATGTATTTCAGATATAGAAAGATTCCCGATTCACGCACCTTCATTCCAGCGAAGGATATTTGCACGTATGGATTGATATTTTCGAAATCAGTTTTCATACACATGCTGCTCATATCTGGTAAACCGTCTGCCCGATAAATCGCAAAAATGTAACGCGCGCGGCTCCTGAATGGCAGCGACTCGCCACCAACGGGGAGCAGCAGATTTCTGCGATCGTTAGGTTTCAATTAAAGCATCGAAATTTTTGTCGTACATGTCGGAAAGTAATCCGATGTCGTTTAAGCGGAGAATAATTGGTTCTCTAACTAATATTCCATGATTCAGGAGACCAAGCTGGAATCTATCTAGATACCAGCGACACTAACACGGTGTAACATTAAAATGGATGCTGGAACATGGCCATATTTCCGTCTCCGCGACGGCAAGGCGCAATATGTATGTAGATGAACTGTTACAAACCGAAGTTACGAGGGAACAAATGAAAAATTTTTGGTAACGTGGAAAATCTGTTGACCATAAGGAAATTTAAGATTAATAGCGGCTGATATATTCTTTCGATAATATTTCATGATTAAATTAGTGAAAACTGCATATATTATGCAGCAGTACTCGAAATCAGAGTGAAACATATTTAAATTGTGGACTTTAATGAAGATTTTTACCTTTTTTAAGCGAGGAACAATAAAACTCAAGATTTTTCTATTTCTACGATAATAATGAAGAGTAGAAAAAGCTTAAGTACTATTAAAATAATAACAAATTGCCCTCTCATAACATAATATAGTAAGGTTTACCAAATACAGTGTTATCAATGAATAAATATCAATGAATATTTGAATTGTTATAACAATGAAAATGGCCATGCCGATTTGTGGCACCGTCAATGGTAAATCGCGTAAACTTCTGAGCCGAGCTTATCTACAAGCAAAACGATATTCTTTGTTGTAACTATCTTATCCTCTGATGGAAAACCATGTTGTATCAGTTTAAACTTCGATTTCAATTTTTTTAATGACCTTCTGTTACATATAAATTCATTTATGTAGACATATCAACATATTCGTTGAAATTGACAATTTTATAAAACTGTTTGCTCTCTTTAGATGCACTTTTTATATTGCAGCACAGACTTAAGATATGTAGTAGTCAACAAGTCGTGGACGGTCGGTACTTACGTATTTTAAGTCTGCAGCTGCAGTATTATGTAGTTCAGCAGCTGACTGTTCCATTAGTATAGAGTTCGCTAGTGCGCTATGACACGGCTAACATTGTCGGTATTTAACTTTATGCAGGAAATTTCATTTTTTTATGTTCAACACAAAATATTAAAATTCTTATAGTTTATAATAATACGTAAAGTGAGGATTGATTGATTAATCACCATTAATTCGATAATTAAGATTATTTGAGGAAGACTGATTAAAAGCAAAAATTACCCTTCAATGTCATCCTCGCCGTCTGTTTCCGGGTGCACCTTCATCTTCTCCCCTTTTACATTCATTGTAATGTTACATTTAACATATCCCTTCAGACCGGAACCTGGGTCCGCCGGGTTGATCAACATCGCCCATTTGTGATAATATTGACGATCTGTTCGAACACATCTGTTACCATAATTCCGATGGATACAATTATTCGGAAATGATTATTACATAAACGATGAAACTTTGAAATTATTAACACCTGGTTGTTCCCACACAAGAGCTATTTCGAAGTTTGCGCTCCCATGGAACTTCAAGCGCAGGTAATGCTTTATATACACAGCTATTATAATCCTAGTACTCAATAGTTCCTCTAAGTTGCAGAACAAATCGAACACGAAGTACTGAAATATATATATATTAAAAATGTATCATCCTTCAGATTAACCTGATAAGAATATCAATTCGAATGTTTACTTCATTGTAAACCGGTGCATCGGTTTTCTCGCGGACCACCGTTTTCTTTTTCTGATTGCCAACTTTAACCACCACCAAACAGCTCGCATTTTGCGGCAAGTGTCTCGCCTCTAAAATTGTAACGCACACTTGATAAGTTGTGCGTCGAAATCTTCTGGCACCCATTGCGACTCGATTGAATCGATACTCGATCCGCTTCGTGTTTATAATAAATGAATATTTATTGAATTTCGCGGAATAAATAATTTACCTTGCGCCGTCCGTCAATGAAGTCCCGTATTATTCGTACAGGTCATGTCAGTGGATAGTTCCCGCGTGTTGCATTTACTTCACAGATGTCAGCACTATATAAGTTCTAGGGAATTCAGCTTTGATGGTAACTGGTGGTCGGAAGGGTGCTGAAATGGAAGGCCGTCTCTGTTCCATCGACGAATTATTGATTCATTTATATCGACTTGGTTTTTATTAATTTATTCTGATTTCGTAAGATATTAAACTGGTAATTGCTAGAGAATTTTATAATTGAACACAGAACATTTTCAGTTATATTCGAAGTATAAAGTGCAAATTAAGAACAGACAGAACTGAGTGTCTTTCCAATGATATTCGCTATCGAGAATGCGTGTGAGCGTATCAGCGTGGAAACTGTTTCACCGAAGCGTTCCGGTATATTCGAAAATCTGCAGAATTGCAACGTTCACGTATGTTAAACGCACCCGGATTTAACGCTGAGTTCTCGAATATGATTTTTCCGATTTATTGAACTGGATAACCGAATGAATCCAATTAAACTTGTTCCGCGAAGTTTCCCTGTAATTTTCTACGTGCTGTACAGAGCACAGAGGGGAAGTTTGTTAAAATCGTGCACGAAACGTGAAATACACGAAAAAATAACGAATCGTTCCGACGAACAGCAGCACCATAATGCTTCCTTAGAAACGAAAGAATATTTCTTACAGACGGATTAATATTACACAAGTATAAATTACAACGTTGATTAAGTTTACTAATTGGGAAAGACCGTCAACCGAAACGTTCGATTTCCCATTTTTATCCATGATTTCTTCCTTTTATCGTGCTGCAGCCGATGTAGTAGCTTTTTCATTCCCTTCGCGTCACCAACCTCGAAGGCCCTGCTGTCAGACACAAGTGTGCACTTCACACGTCAATTTGCGTAGCGGTGTGTAAATAAAAAAAAAGGAAACAACGTTACGCGTGACGCGTTTCCACTCATATCCCGATTGTCACAACAACGAGCATCGATCGAGCCGTCGAAATTAGACCACCGAGAACCTCGGTGATTTGCACGCACCCCCCAATCTATAGCCGTCCATAACTCGATGCATAATTCACCGCATCCGAATTGATTTTCCCAGTGAAGCACTGCTTCCCACTCTGTTCAACGGGAATTATATTTGAAGGCGAAAAGTATTAAACAAGAGTGAAAAATAATTGAAACGTTAATAGCAAAAGATCACAAAATCTTACGAAAGAGTTAGTACTTCCGTGGCTCTTATTTCAGTTGTCAATATATAATAATTGCAGGACAAAATAGATTTGAAGCGATATAAATCGAAATTGAATTGAAAACGAACGTAAGAGCTACTATAGATTCGAATATAAAGAAACAGTATGCTCGTCTAACAAGCTTTACGTTTAATATCCACAAAAATTGGAGACTAATGCTTTGCTGATGCATTGCTGCTAATAATCATTCAGGGTAGTGTCAGGTTCGATCGACGTCAGATATTAAATTTCCCGGGACACGGAAGCCTTCTACGATATTGTCAGAAATCACGGTATCGGTGACACACGGCGCAGATATCACGGCGAGATAAAAACGTCACACTTCGGCCCCGGCTAGAAGCCCTCTATGGGGCGTGCACGCAACAGACGGGCAGAATAGCGAAGGGCGTGCGCGCAATTCAGAAGCTATTATAGGCACGCGGTTTATTTCGACACGTGTCTTTACGGGCCTTAAATTGCTGTCGTTTGGTATCCTAAGTACGGACTTCCGACGTGCCGCTGCGAATCGTGTTGCGTACTTCGCACTAATTGTCCTCGGTGATTTATCGGACAATCTCATGGCATTTCGGGAATAAGGAATCCACGCAATTATTCTGTTTCAAGCGTCCTTTCCCATCTCTTATTACATAGTTCCAGAAGTTGATCATTAACGATATATGTAAGATAATTTTACTCAAATATTTATTATGTCTCACAGACTAATAAATTATACGACACTCTATGAAATTTAACAATAGAATTTTATATTTAACGAAGATCAATATTTCCTAACGAGTTCTTCAATTCTTCCAACTAGAGGCTTCAAGAAAATACAATAATCAAATACAATTCAAAATCATTCCTATCAAATTAAGTATACGAATACAGAAGACAAAAATCTACCCACAAAAACCACAATCATCCCCGAGCAACCCTCGCCCCCGATCAACCACCGAAACGATCGTGCGAAACTATCAACTCCGATAAACACACGTCACCGGGATTCTAGAAACGATTATTATGGAACGGTCGTTTTCGCCGGTAACAACGTATCGGGCACCCGTAGAAGAAAAAACCGAAATGCAAGCGAAAAAGCGGCTCAGGCGGGGGGTCGCAGAGTGGAAAAAAAAAATCGTGTTCCAGCACGTATTAGCGGTAGGCTTGTAAGTTAACCCCGCTAACCGGCGGAGGACACGAGCGCGGAGCGTGCCCCCCGTGGGGGTTACGCCATTGGGGGTGTTCGTTATATTCCGAGTCCTTTTGAAAGGGTCACGTGGCCGCGCGGCAGCCCCCTCGAGCCCGATATCGTATTTGTACAACACGCATCCATTATTGCAATCCGGCTGTTTGTGTGTTTTGCGCGCTCTTTGTGCGACGATCCTCCGCGCTCACGGCTCGCGCCCTGCCGCCGCCCCGCTCACCTTTCGCTTTTTCTTTCCCCGGGACGGAGCGGAGCGGCGCCCTCTCGGCTTTTCGCACACTTGTCCCCGGCACTGCCAGCGAGCAAGCGAGACGCGGGCCCATTTATTGTGCCCGTGAAACAATGAGGCACTCGCGATCGCCCGGCCACTCGACGGAACAGAGAAAACCGGGAGGCTCTCTTCTCGTTTCGCCGGATCACGTGGGAAAACGTCGTCGTCGCCTTTCTTTCCGCCCCGATGAAAGGGAGAATATCGATGGGAGGTGCTCGACTGCCGCGCGCACGTGTGGGAGAAGTCAGTTCTGCCTTTTCTCCTGCTCCTCCTCCTTTCTCCTCTGGTTTTTTATTATTATTTTCGAGATCTTCGAGGAACGTTCGAGTCGAGGGGGCGAGTTAGGCACTTCGCGGCATCGATGACTCGCAGACAGTTCGGTCATTCAAGTGGCCACTCGGGCGCCGGGGGTTGGGTTCGAGAGGAATTCATTTGGATGTTATTGGATGAGCTCCGTGTGTACCGTGAGTCACACTTGCTCCTGTATTTTCGAGTCAACAGTCAGAAACTTAAATTCACTTCTATGATTTCTGATTATTATTTCTGATTAACCTTCAGTATCCCACGACTCGACCCTTCAAACGCACAGTTTGATATTCTAGACGTAATCCATTGAAACTCTTAGACAACTCAAATTCCCTCATCTCCGAACCTCATCAAACGAATTCAAACCAATCTAAGTAGCATCAATACCATCAATACAGAAACTTGACTCCAGCCAACAAATCAACTTAGAACCTATGGACCTCTACGAAAACTCCAACGAAACCTCCTGGGACATCCGAAAACGCCATTAAGCCACGTTCGAATTGTACCAAAGATGATCGCATAATACCCGAAGGACTCGCGTAGCGGCCTCCATGGGTGGCTGCAGGGATTCCGAAGTGAGCGTCCATCCTCTAAATAGCGGAACATTATCCTATCTCCCGCGGTGGAGGACGCGCGGGCCGCGTGTACCTGCTCGCCGGTCCGGGCGGATATCATCTTCCCTCGTGCGCGGCGGTGTCGTGTCCAGGTTCGGAGCGTAGATGATGGGATGACGGACCGCGGGCGTGTCCGAGTAGCCGATACCGGGCGCGTGATCGGGAGACCTCCCGGGGCCGACCACCCTCGAGGGGCCACGAGGGTCGACTTGTTAGCCAGACACAACGGGCACTCCGTAGCTAACGGAGCGCTCTCCTCCGAGCGACGACAGCTCCGCGCTGCCCGACAATGTTTCTGCGGGCCCCTCTCGGTACGCCAACCGGCGGACCGCTCGCTTTGCATCGGCCGCGCCGGTTCCCTTCGTATTCCACGGGCTCGTGACTCTCAAGATCGACGATTCGGTCGAATCGTATTGGAGCACGCCGGAATCACCCGTCCTCGCTTGCTCCGCAGTTTCTGCTTCGCTCTCCGCGGCGGATCGTGGGTGGTGATCTGGCGACATCTTGACTGGCCGAGGGTTAGACCCCGCGATGGGGAACTGGCTGAGTAATGTTGGCTGGGCTACCTGCTAGGAAGCAATAAGAGAAAAGGGCTCCTTCCCATTGTAATGTTATGACCGTAATGCCGATGGAACGAGTTTATTAGATGTAATTGAATCGTGGCCATTTTTTTCAGAGGGTTTCCCATTGGGACAGATGATCGCGACGTTATTGGGCGCGTCAGTTGTTAAGCTGGAATTGTATACGGAGCTTAACTTTCGAGGATGTTCGTCGCGGAATTGTGATGCGAGTAAGAATTGAGGGAATTTTTCGAAGATACCGTTCTCAATGGCTTGTAGAATTCTGTGGAGGGATTCTCATTCTTGGCAGTTCCTCTGTACCTGGCGATGAACGGAGTACCGTAAATAGTTTCGAGTGGTTGTTAGCCCGGGACGTATCATTTTTTGAATAGGACACGGGGAGGTGGAAGTTCCAGGAGCGGCGGTGAAATTTCAAGGAGCCGCCGGCAGATGTATTATTCGGTGGCTGGCATTGATCGCCCGCACTATTTCAAAGGGGTCGGCGTCGTTAAACAAATTTTTAAGGTATTCCCGCGGCCCTACTAGGCCTCTACGAAAAAATGTTATTATTGGACGGTTTCGACCGAAAGCGAAACCGTGTTCGTCGAACCCGCCTTAATGAAGGTACATTCTTCGCTCGCCCTCCGATCAAGATATCTCCCGTATAAATTGAATGCTTTTCACCGAAGCTCAATCAAGCCGTT